TTCAAGTGATTTATTCTTCCTTTTTACACCATAGAAACAACAACTCAATGTATTTTGCTTGGCATGGTTATCTTTTATTAATTTTGCTGTGAGTGCAAAACCATTGTAATCTCTGTTCATTTACTAAATTAGTCATATTTGAAAAGAAACTTTTACTTTAAATATAAATAAGAAGATAAATCACTTGAATGGTTGTAGTCCCAAAGGTGCTTTTTCAGGAGGCAACTGGACTTTCTGGTTTTTCTTTGAAGATGTTTCGCTTCTCATCCAAGAAGCTTCTTCAGCTCTGACTGGAGGGTGGGGAATGGAAGGGTTTATGCTCCTTGCAGACAGCTGGTCATTTTTGGGAATATAAATCCTTCCATTTCCCACCATCCAGTGAGAGCGGAAGAAGGTTTTTGGATGAGAAGCGAAAAGTCTTCAAAGTAAAACCAGAATGTCCAGTTGCCTCTTGAAAAAGCACCTCTGGGACAATCATGACTTGGATGACCGAGAATCTCTGTAGACATTTGAATGATTGTCCAATGTTTTTTCCAGGTATCCTGACATTAAGATATGGTGAAATATGGAAAGAGCAAAGAAGGTTTTCACTGATGCTCCTCAGAAACTTTGGAATGGGCAAAAAATCAATGGAAGAAAAGATCCTGGAGGAGGCATCATATTTGATTCAAGTGTTTACAGAAAACATAAGTATGCTCTCCTGGGACTGGATGGGATCATTGGGAATTGTCACTTCAGTGTTCCTAGTACACAGTCATTTAAATATGAGCCAACAGTGTGTGGTAGCAGCCAGAAAAGCCAATGCAATTTTAGGCTGCATTAACACAGGGGTAAAATCAAGAGAGGACATGGGGGCTCAGTGGCTAAGACGCTGAGCTTGTTGATCAGAAGGTTGGCAGTTCAGCAGTTTGAATCCCTAGTGCTGCATAATGGAGTGAGCTCCCATTACTTGTCCCAGCTTCTGCCAACCTAGCAGTTCGAAAGCATGTAAAAATGTGAGTAAAAAAATAGGGGCCACCTTTGGTGGGAAGGCAACAGCGTTCCGTGTACCTTCAGCATTGAGTCAAGCCAGCCACATGACCCTGGAGATGTCTTCAGACACTGCTGGGTCTTCGGCTTTGAAACAAAGATGAGAACCCTAGAGCTGGAAATGACTAGCACATATGTACGGGGGGACCTTTACCTTTAGAATCAAGATGACGTGAAGACCACATCTGGAGTACTGCATCTAGTTTTGGTCACCACATTACAAAAAGGATGTCGATAGTTTGGAAAATGGGTGGAGAAGTTAATTAGGGGCATGGAGACTAAAACATATGATGAACAGTTACAGGAATTGGGTATAGCTAGTCTAGTGGAAAGAAGGACCAGAGGTGATGTGATAGCAGTGTTCCAATATCTGAAGGGCTTTCACAGAGATGAAAGAATCATCCTTTTTTTCCAAATCACTGGAAGGCAAAACAAGAAACAAAAGACGGAAGCTAATCACAGCATTTTCTTCAAGAGAAATTTAATTTGTTGACTGTTCATTCACCATGTCCGTCAATGTATAGAGCCTGTATCCTATTTTTTTCACTGCCCCAAAACATGTATGCATCTATGTGTCAGGCCTGCAGTCATGTTCCTTTTGGATCTTTGTCCTGCCACACTTCTACTATGTTGTTTCTATAGTGGGGAATAGGGAGGGGGGATAGTAAGGAGTAGAATGTTATGTAGCCAAAATAAAATTCCTTTCTAAATTGCCAAGATCATTCTTTGTCTTGGCACCTCTGCACCTGACTGGAACTGGATGGGTAAAACTGCCAGCATGGCAGTGGAAGATTGGACCATGTGATAGATTGGTGGATGTGGGTGCAAGATCATGAACTTTAATTTGGGTGGAAACAACTGAGAAGTTCAGATTCGGGTTTTCTCCGATCTCCCAGCAAGGCTCTCTTAATAGATTGGAATTTTGAGCAGTACTTTGCCTTGGACTCTGATTTAATGTTGGATGCTATCTGGAATGCTGACACTATGATAATTTCATTTTCTTTTCTTTCACAGGTATGCCTTTTGGCCCTTATGAGTTTGTGGACTCTGCAGTCATCAATGTAATTTCTACAATACTCTTTGGGAAACGTTTTGAATATGACAACATGTTCCTCAGGACTCTGCTGGATGACATACATCAAAGTTCCAAAATGACAACAGGACCCTGGGGATTGGTATGCTTCACAAGGATCCTGAAGATGGTTTGAAATTAATCCACAACGAATTGCAATCTAAAAGTCCATATCTCACTCGTTCTGGAATGCATTGGTTTTCTATTGCAATTAGAGCAGTATCTCACCAGGGTGTAAGGACAAGTGGGTGAAGCAATCTGGTCCCAACTTGCAGTTATCCCAATTGAATGAGGGCTAGTTTCAGCACTGAAATGTAACCTTATTGGGCCACTTGATTCCCGATCAAATTAGGAATGAGAGATATTGCAAGGTATTTCTTTTCCTGTTCCATATACTACTAAGAAGATCCGTTGTGATCAAATTAGTCAATATTTCTGTACCGAAATCTAACCTATTGGGATATTTTGAGATAAAGGTAAAGGTTCCCCTCGCACATATGTGCTAATCGTTCCTGACTCTAGGGGGCGGTGCTCATTTCTGTTTCAAAGCCAAAGAGCCAGTGCTGTCCGAAGACATCTCCGTGGTCAGGTGGCTGGCATGACTAAACCCCAAAGGCGCATGGAACACTGTTACCTTCCCACCAAAGGTGGATCCTATTTTCCTACTTGCATTTTTTATGTGCTTTGGAACTGCTAGGTTGACAGAAGCTGGGACAAGTAACGGGAACTCACTCCGTTATGCAGCGCTAAGGATTTGAACCACCAAACTGCCGACCTTTCTGATTGACAAGCCCAGTGTCTTAGCCACTGAGCCACCATGTCCCTATAGGGATATTTTACCTCCCATCAGCTTGAGGATAAGAGATATTTATCTAAGCTCTGTACAAATTTTCCTGCTCAATATATATCCATCAAAATAAAATTAATCAATGTTCATTTTTTCTGTTTGCTGGCAGCTTTACAATGAGATGCCCTTGGTGAGAAGCCTTCCCCTGCCCCACCAGACAATACTAGCCACCGGAAAGAAAGTAGATGTTTTTATTAAAAAGGAGGTGGCAGAGCACAAGGCGACCATGACTCCCGGAGAACCGCGAGATTTCATTGATGCATATTTAGAAGAAATGCAGAAGGTAGATTCCCTCAGTCTCTTTTAGTTGAATTTGTGGTGATTTTCTTCCCCTGTCATTTTGGAATTGTTTTCCTGACATTACAGGTCTTGAGAAGATACCAAAAACATTGACACAGGGACTTTTTTTTAGATGTTGAGACAGACCTGTGAAAGCCTGTAGAGATTCTCAGTCATCCAGGTCATGGTTGTCCCAAAGGTGCTTTTTTTCAGGAGGCAACTGGACTTTCTTGTTTGTCTTTTGAAGACGTTTTGCTTCTCATCCAAGAAGCTTCTTCAGCTCTGATGGTGGAGAATGGAAGGATTTATATTCCTTGCAAACAGCTGGTCATTTGCAAACTTTTAAGAGGGTCATTGAGGCCACTTGGAGCACTATCTGTCTCCTCAGGGTCACCTGAGTGATGCTCCTGGTTCCTTTAGTCTGCATTTTTTCCCTCTGGGAATACATTCCTACTCTCATACCATTCAAAGGATGTTCATCCAAAATTGTATAACTGTTACAATTGTATAATTATATGGAAAAAAACCCTACAAACTACAGGAACCATTTGCACTACTCAGGGGACCCTGAGGACACAGATAAACCTCCAAGTGGCCTCAACGACCCTCTAAAAGGATGCAAATGATCAACTGTCTGCCAGGAATACACATCCTTTCATTTCCCACCATCCTGTCAGAGCTGAAGAAGCTTCTTAGATGAGAAGCAAAATAACTTCAAAAGAAAAAAAAACCCAAAAGTCCAGCTGCCTCCTGAAAAAGCACCTTTAGGACATACATGGTGAGAGAAAAGAACATGAAATTATAATAGATGGATGATCGGGGGCAGTTAGAAAAATCAGGAGACACTGAAGGACTTGGTGAATGAACCGTCCACGAACTAAATTTTTCTTAAAGAAAATGTTCTATCAGGGGGACATATTGTGTGAATGTAGCTGCATTTCTCTGCTTTGCATGTTGTGTAGACACAACCAAATAGGATAGAAATTTCCATCAGGACTGAGAAGAAAGGCCCCTGTCAACTCATAAAGTTGCCATGGTGAGGAAAGGTGGGGAGCGCATTCCATGCATAGCTTAGGCTAGTGTCAGATCTCAGATTATTACAGCAAGCTTGGGAGGGGTGCACCTCATTGGAGAATGTGATTTATGACACAGACTGAGGGGAGGGAGGAAACAGGGGTAAAGTTCAGCTATAATTCAAATGAAGCTTAGGTCTGATTGCAAAGTGGTATTGCCGAAATGGTGCTCCTAATAAATGCTTGGATTTCTTTTGAAACTTGGCTCTAGGCTTATGAATTAATTAGGGCATCTTTTGGAAACCTGACGGACAGTCAAATCTAAGCCTCATTTGAATTATAGTTGAACTGAACTGAACTGAAACCTGACAGCCCCTTTGCCAATTCTAGAGAGAACCCTCTTGGATAGGGCCCCTCAAGTTGTGGACCATGACAGGTTTGCAACTGGGCCATCAAAACTTGCATGAGCAGTGGGTGAGCACATTGTGCACACTCATTTGTGTGAGTGGCAGCCATGCATGCAAGCCATCCCCGCAAATGTAGCTGTGCACACGTGAGTGCTAGCTGGATGCTTGTGTGAACCATCCCCTCACCCCCATCCTGACTGGTCCACAAAGCCAGAAACATTGGGGAATTCTGCTCTGGGGGAAGCTTCCTTTTTTCCCTGAACTTTTTTTATCATGGTGGGTTAGAGGGTAGTATTAACTTCCCTTCCCTACTGGTTTGCAAATGTGAGCATGCGTGCATGCATTCCACCTTCCGCGCATGCACTTTGCCTTAAAAATGGGCCTAAATGGTGTGCTGTAGAGCCAGGGTGGATGGGCATGGCCACCCATGGTTTCTGCTACCGGTTCGGGCAAACTGGTCAGAAGCAGCAGAATGCCACCTCTGGTGGATTGTCACTAGGAGAATTGATTGTTCCTCCTGTCCTTGTTTCCTTTTCCTTTTTTAGTCATGTTACTCAGAATGAATCCCCGTTTTTTTAAAATGGATGTTGTCAACTCTGTTAAAAAGTACACGTGAGTTGGAGAGCCTTTCTCTTAGTTTGTTTTAACATCATTCTTTGTTTTAACTGACAAAAGCCAGAGAGGAGTGGTTCAAGCTTTGAAGAAGGACAGCTAGAAATCTTACTGTCTGATCATCTTGTGGCTGGAGCAGAGACAACGTCAGGAACACTGCAGTGGGGGTTGCTGTATTTGATGGCCTTTCCAGAGATCCAAGGTAAAGAATTATGAAACGGAGTTCTTCACCTGTAACAATGGTAGGATTCAAATGTTTTTACGACCGGTTATGTGGGTGTGGCTTGGTGGGCGTGACAGGGGAAGGATACTGCAAAATCCCCATGCCCTCCCCACCACACTAACCTGCTTTCCAGCTCCGTTCTTCTCCTGTTAAGTGCTTTTAAATTGTTTGTATTGTCTGTTTGTCTTTGCCTTACTTTTGTAATTTCCTCTCCCTTGGCTTTGTTCAGCCGCCCTGAGTCCCTTCGGGGAATAGGGCGGCCTACAAATTGTATAAAATCCAAATCCTAAAATCCAAATCCAAACAAAAGAAGATCAGTTGTGGAAAACAGACCCTGACAAAAAAGGGTTGTGTCATTTAGGTGTTCTTACAACTCAGAGCCTTTATTGTGCTCTCCCTCTCTTTGTAAGAGAGAACGAGACAGGTACCTGATCAGAATCAGAGATGAAAAGAGGAANATAGGTGTTCTCTTATACCTGCCCTGGAGGGGTGCTGAAGGAATCTGGCTCTGAAGAAAGCTATTCTCAGTGGAGCTATAATTTCTCAGTTGCTCCTTCCTTGCTGTGGCACCACGAGAGAGCAGATTTTGAACTCTTCTTCTAAGAAATATGCTTGCACAAGAGCAACCTTCTGCATTCTGGCCAGACTGGATAAAAATCACTCTTCTCTTTAGTGGCTCCATTCAGAGGTGGGTTCCAGCAGGCATTACTGCTGGTTTGCTCATTCTCAGAATTGTAATTTTCAGGTTCCCACCAAGAATGTTATAGGACTCATTGTTTATAAATATTAGAAGCAAAGAGACAAACTAAACAAGGTGTCTCCACAAGGTGGAGAAGAATAATAGTAATACAGTCTTAGTAGGTAATTTGACAGTGGTGAGGGAATTGTTTGTTTAGCAGAGTGGTGGCATTCGGGAAAAACCTGTTCTTGTGTCTAGTTGTTCTGGTGTGCAGTGCTCTATAGCGTCATTTTGAGGGTAGAAGTTGAAATAATTTATGTCCAGGATGCGAAAGGTCTGTAGATATTTTCACAGCCCTCTTTTTGACTCGTGCAGTATACAGGAAGGAACATTGGCTGAACACTTTGGGGGACAGAGTTGGATGGAGCTCAAATAGATTCCTCAAGTAGCTCCTTGATGACATATTATGTTAAAACATTGCAGTGATTGGTCTCCACTAATTTCCCGATGCCTCTATGCTAACAATTCTGGCTACTTTATTTCAGCTAGGAAAAAAATATGGTCCTATCTTCAGTCTTTATCTTGGAAGGACCCCTGTGGTCTTGACTTATGGGTTTCCTTCAGCCAAGGAGGTTCTCATGGTACAAGGCATAGAATTTGCTGGGAGAGCATCATTTCCTATAATGGATGCCATCACTAGTAAGAAAGGTAATTGAATATAATTTCCAATCCCTGCCTCTTACTCTGTTTATTCTTGGTATTCTAATTTTCTGCAATCTGGACGGTTGATCAAAGTTTCCAGCAAGAGAAAGAAGAATCTCTTGAAATATTGGAACTAGCTCTCTTCTCCTTTCTTTTGTAACATTTATTATCATTGTTGTTATTGTTGTTATTGTTGTTATTGTTGTTNCTGGACTGGGAGGGAATGGAGATTTTGCAGTATCCTTCCCCTGGAGTGAGGTAGGAATGGAGATTTTGGAGTATCTTTCCCCTGGAGTGGGGAGGGAATGGAGATTTTACAGTATCCTTCCCCTGCCATGCCCACCAAGCCACGCCCATAGAACTGGTAGTAAAAAAAATGAATTTCACCACTGTTCAGCTGTCTGAATGACTTCTTTGCTTTGCCTTTTTCAGGACCGAGAGTCTGCTTAGGAGAAAACCTTGCTCGGATGGAGCTTTTCTTCTTCTTCACCAGCATTCTCAGGAACTTCCAGCTATTGTGGCCAGATAAATCCCAAGCTCCAGATTTCACACCACACTTTGCAATTACTCAATTCCCATCCCACTTTAAGATGCTGCTGAAATGTCGCCAGTCCTGTGAATAGAATCCTTTATTTGTTATTGGCCAAGCGGGATCGCGCGTGCGCGCGCGCAGACACACAGACACACACAGACACACAAACACAGAATTTGTCTTCGGTGCATAAGCTCTCAGTGTACATAAAAGTTAAAAGTTAAATAAATCATGATCATAGTCATCATAAAAATATATTCCTCATAGTCATAAGACACAACATGATCACAACATGACCTCGTAGATGACCCCCACTCTGTCAAGGACCTGGGAGTACTCATCTCAAATGATCAAAGTGCCAAAGGCATTGAGAATTGTAAATCTAATCTTGCGAAGCTTCTTCTCTGGTAATATTGAACTGCAAACCAGAGCCTACGAAACTTTTGCTAGACCAATCCTCGAATACAGCTCATCTGTCTGGAACCCGCACTTCATATCATACATTAATACAATCAAATGAGTCCAGAGATATTTCACAAGAAGAGTCCTCCATTCCTCTGGTCGCAACAGAATCCCTTATGCCACCAGACATGAAATTTTGGGCTTAGGGGACTTATAACTAAACCTTCGGTCTGACCTAAGTGTAGTACATAGTACATAAAATTATCTACTATAATGTCCTACCTGTCAACGACTACTTCAGCTTCAACCACAACAACACACGAGCACACAATCAGTGACGTGCAGTCAGGGGAGGCAGGGCCTCACCACTGTCATCATGAAAAGAAAAAAAAATGTAAAGGGAAAAAGGCTGGGGTAGTTGCTGCCACAGTGGATGACTCTGCTTAGTGCTTAACTGTTTAAAAAAGCCTCTAAAAAAGTGCCTTCTATAGGAGG